TTTGAGACAGGGTTTCACTATGCAGTTCAGACTGGTCTTGAGCTTACTGTTTAGCCCAGGCTGGTCTCAAACTCACAACAATCCTCCTGCCTCAGCCTCCCGAGTGCTGGGATTACAGGTGTGCACCACCATGCCCGGCTATCCTTTCCTATTCTTATTCCTTTTATTTCTTTCTCTTGTCTAATTGCGCTGGCTAATGTTTCCAGAACTATATTGAACAGGAATGGTGATAATGGACATCCCAGTCTTGTTCCTGATTTTAGAGTGAAAGCTTTCAGTTTTTGTCCATTGAGTATGATGTTGGCTGTTGGTTTGTCATAGATGGCTTTTATCAGATTGAGATAAAGACCATCTATTCCAATTTTCTGTAAAGTTTTTTAGCATGAATGGGTGTTGGGCTTTGTTAAGCACTTTTTCTGTGTCAACTGAGATGATCGGGGGCTGGGGATTTAGCTCAGCAGCACAGGGCCTGCCTGGCAAGCACAACGTCGTGAGTTCAATTCCCGGTACCAGGGGGGCAGGGGAAAGAGATTATCATATGGTTTTGTCCTTGGCTTTGTTAATATGGTGTATTACATTTATTGCTTTGCATATGTTGAACCATCCCTGCATCCCTGGGATGCATCCTATTGATCATGGTGTGTAATGTTTTTGATGATTGGCTGAATTCTGTTTGCCAGTATCATACTGAGGATTTTTGTATCTATGTTCCTTAGGGAGATTGGCCTATAGTTTTCCTTTTTGTTCAGATCTTTCTCTGGTTTTGGTATTAGGCTACTGCTTGCTTCCAGGAATGAATCTGGGAGTATTGCTTCCCTTTCAATTTTATTAAAGAGTTTGAGAAGTAGTAGCATTAGGTCTTCTCTAAAGTTATTGTAGAATTTAGCAGTGAATCCATCAGGACCTGGGCTTTTCTTTGTTGGTAGGTTTTTAATTACATCTTCAATTTCATTTACTGATATTGGGTTATTTAGAATTGTTATATCTTCTTGGTTCAGCTTTGTTAATTCATATGTATCTAGGGATCTGTCCACTTCTTCTGTGTTTTCCATTTTATTAGAATACAAGTTCTCTAAGTAGGCACAGTATTGATGATCTTCTGGATCTCTGCAATATCTGTTATAATTTCACCATTTTCATTCTTAATTGCATGGATTTGAGTCCTTTTTTTCCTTCTTTTTTATGAAGTTGGCTAAAGGTTTGAACATTTTATTTAAACTTTCAAAGAACCAACTCTTCAATTCATTGATTCTTTGTATTGTTTTCTTAGTCTTAATTGCATTAACTTTTGCGCTAATCTTTATAATTTCCTCCCTCAGCTTTGGGCTTGACTTGCTCCTCTTTTTCTAGAAGCTTGGGGTTCAACATTACCTTGTTTACTTGAGCTTGCTCTGTTTTTCAGATATCGGAAGTCACCACTGTAAATTTCCCTCGTAGGGCTGCTTTCATCATGTCCTATAAGTTCTGATTTGTTGTATTGGCATTATAATTTAATTGTAGAAACTGTCTAATTTCTCCTTTAATTTCATCTGTGACCTTATCTCCTTTAATTTATCTGTGATCTATTGGTTGTTCAGGAGGGTATATTTAATTTCCATGTGCTTATGAATTTTTTATGGTTTCTTTTGCTATTGATTTCCAATTTCATTGTACTATGGTCTGGTAATATGCGTGGAATAATTTCTGTTCCTTTGCATTTACTTAAGCATGTCCTATGAGCTAGTCTTTGCTCTATTTTGGGGAAATCCATGTGCATTTGAGAAAGATGTATATTTTGATGTTATTCATTTACAAATGACAAGTGATCATGATAGAGTAATGCCATGGAGATGCATAAAGAATATAGTAGAACCTCTGTTTATTTTAAATGTCATCACTTAAATCATTGCTTTATATAATGTGCATCTTTATTGTTTCAGATTTTGTTTGTTTTATTGTTTTTAAGATAATTGTCTAGGCTGGCCTTCAACTTACGATGTTTTGGTCTCAGCTTCCCCAGTAGCTCGGATTACAGGCATGCACCACCACACTCAGCAATAATTTACATATTTACACAGTTCAATCTATAAGTAAACATATTTGTGTCCTGGTAAATGCTCAGGAATGTATCCACAGGGAAATATGTGTTATCAAAAAATTTGGACTCTGCTATCAAGTAGTCATGTTCTTTGCCACAGGAATGTACTAGGGGTGGAGTTTTTCCAACAGCAAGGAATGAATGTTGGCAGGGAGGCCTGAGCTGTTGGTGGGAACAACAGCCTGTTACATTCTACTTAAGACACAGCAGCAGGGGACTGTCTTTGCTTAAGAAAGGGGGAAACAGCAGTTCTAGGAGCCCTGGAAAGTGGTGTCAGTCTCCCAGGTCTCCCAGGAAACCCAGGTGGGATGTCTATTCCAGCCAAGGCGGCCTGAGGCATCAGTGAGAGGAGAGACATGACACCTAGTCATTCTCTAAACCTTCCGTGAAGCATTTCCCGTCTCCATCCAGGAAGCAAATACGTGCCATCTAATCTTCATTTCTTGCTGGCACAAGCCTGGGAGATCAAGGGGAAGTGAACGGTGGATCTAATCTTTCCCAGATTTTGTTTGTACAAAGCGATCCTCCACCAACTGGAAGAATACCACACAGGCACCAGGGAGCAGGGTGGTCACTAGAGGAAGGGTGGCTCCCTCTGTGATGACGTCAGTGCTGTCTCAGTAGGAGGCTGCTGGAGTCTCAGTGTGGACTCTGCCTGCAGCGTGGAAAGCATTCTCCTTAGTCCACACCAGACTGGGAGGTCAGAATGAATACTCACTGAAAGCAGCCTTGCTGCAAACAATTTTTTTAAGAACCCATAGAAAAGGGTTGGAAGGACAAGACACACAGACCAGACTGGTCTGTGTACTTACAGAAACAAAATCCCAGCTGATGGGAAGTCAGCAAATGAGACTTATAAATGAAAAGAAGTAAACATCAGGCTCACATTTCCATTCTCTTTCTGCAGAGTTTAACTCTTTCCTTCAGCCATTCACTTATCCCTAAATACCAGCAAGAAAACAGTACTGGGCTGGGAGTATAGCTCGGTCGTAGAGCCCTTGCCTGTCAATTTGAAGCTCCGGGTTCAATCACTGGCACTACCAAAAAAAAAAAAATAAATAAAGCCAATGGGAGCAATCTTTGCATACCTAAGACAGAGGCTTCATTTCCTGCAGGGTGCCTGAGCTACCACCCACAGAGTGCAACTGGGTGCAGGATCCGCTTCCTCTGAATATTTCTCTCCTGTTCTCTCTTTTTCCACTACTCAGAGCACCCCAAGATCCGGCTACCTCGGGCCCTGAGGCAGACCTACATCCGGAAGGTTGGAGACACAGTAAATCTACTAATCCCATTCCAGGTGATGAATCTAGCCCTTGCTGGGACCAGGCTCGGGTTTTGTTTGGAAACAGGTACCAAGAGTCCTACCAGCAGAGGGGCAGTCTTCCTGGCCTCAAATGGAAGGAGCCACAATCACTAGAATTCTGAAGCTAAGTGAGCCATGCATTCTGCACTTCTGAAGTTGGCTTTGGTTAGGGGTCAGGCATGCCCTGTAAGAGGAGGTAATCCCTGCCCTTCAGTCTGTGAGTTCTAGAAGCATCTCAGTCTGGAGGGCCCTTGGGAGTTTGGGCAGCTGGTCCGTTGGTTCCAGCTCCCCTGGGTGTCCCTGATCTAAACTCTCAGAAGGTGGGACACTCAGAGCCATCCTCTTTCCTCATGATCATGAGGCTGTTGCTGAAAGGAGGAAGTCCCCTGGAAGAGTCCACCGACTTCTAGCTCGAGAAATTTACAGCTGCAGGTCAGGTTACCCTGTGGACGTGGGGCAGATCTGACAGGGAAGGCCCAGAGACCTGTCGGGCTGCTCAAGCCTTATCACCACTGCTCAGGGTAAGCCCAAGCCTCAAGCCACCTGGACACGTGACGGACGTGCCTTGGACACCAGTCACGTGAGCGTGCGGAATGGGGAACAGGACTCCATCCTCTTCATCCGAGAAGCCCAACGCACTGACTCAGGCCGCTACCAACTCTGTGTGCAGCTGGGTGGACTAGAGGCCACTGCCACTGTTGACATCCTGGTGATCGGTACGTTGGCGGGCGTAGTGGGTGAGGTGGGCCCCAGGAGCTCCTTCTCCAGCTGAAGAGGCACCATCACAGGGAGCTAGGGAAGCTGGGGTGTTGTCCCCCTGTGCTGAGTCTGGGCAAGACTAGGGGTCTGGGAAGAGATGGGGTCAGGGCCACTCTAGAAGTGATTTCAATACTTACTGGTTGTGCTATATCGCTGCCGTGGCTCTGCTGTTTCAGAGAGGCCAGGCCCTCCTCGGAGTATTAAGCTGGTGGATGTTTGGGGCTCCAACGCTACTCTGGAATGGACAGCTCCCCAAGATACGGGCAATACAGCACTCCTGGGATACACGGTGCAGAAGGCTGACACAAAATCTGGGGTGAGGCCTCACTGGGAAGGAGGGAGGGAGCAATGGGACATTCTGGACTGAGCATCTGGCAGCTCGGCATGGGATGAGTTCATAAAACCAGCGGCTCACGTACGGCATCTTCTGGGGACCCTGCAGCTGTGGTTCACTGTGCTGGAACATTATCACCGCACCAGCTGCATTGTCTCTGACCTCATCGTGGGCAACTCCTACGCCTTTCGCGTCTTCGCTGAAAACCAGTGTGGACTCAGTGAAACGGCCCCTGTCACTGTTGATCTTGCTCACATCCAAAAAGCAGGTAAGGAAGGCATACAGGACACATGCTGAGAAGATTAGGAGAAAAAGAATTGAGTAAGTATGGGGATATCGAATGTATATCATGGCCCCTCTTATGCCTGCAGCTACTATTTACAAGACCAAGGGATTTGCTCAACGGGACTTCTCTGAAGCGCCAAAGTTTACCCAGCCTCTGGTAGATTGCACTACAATCACGGGCTATGACACTCAGCTCTTCTGCTGTGTCCGTGCCTCTCCCAAGGTGAGTGGGGAATTGGGGGAGGAGGGCTGTTTCCTGTTCCTGTCCCACCCTAACTTTAGCTAAGTTGCAGAGCATTCTAATTTAACACCTACTATCATGGCCACCATCTGCCTTTATATAGCAGGTTATTTAGGAACAGCAAGGCATTTTTAGTTCAAGCTGTGACAGTATAAATGTGTTTCCTTTTAGTTCCTCGTACACAGAGATATCACTTCCTGACCTGCTGCCACTGTACTGTTTATCTGGTAGGAGAGATGAAGTCCTACTGGTTTGTCCTTACTTACCTACCCATAGCTTTTCTGGGCAGGGCCATGCCCATGCAAGCTGACTAGCTGAGCCGCTCGCTACCACTCTGAGTGAGGCTTTTGATTTATAGTCTGGTCACCATAATCCACATCACAAGCAAGCTTTACCCAGTATCTTTTGGATTCTGAGTGCTGGACCACACTCCATGGAGGTACCATCCTAGAAGGCAAATTTCAATAAGCCCACTCTACAAACTACTTTTTAACCAGAGGAGAAAGAAACTACTCACAGGCCAACAGTGGATACAGAAGGAGTATGGATGGGTCACAATATACATGTGCACATAATATATATATAAGACCCAAGGCATCCATCTTTTCTGATCCATGAAGGGCTACTCAAGTAGTGAGAAAGAAGTTACCAGCTTTCTTCCAGTCTGTAATAACTTGATGGAGAGGGGAGGGTTTCTGGTGTTCTTTTCAACCAAAAGGAGGTTGGGGACTGTGGAAGGTACTGGAAGCGGAATCCCTTCTCACATCAGGGGCAGAGAGTCTCCACAAGTCTTACAGGCAAAGAATCCCAAATGCCAAGCAAAGAAAAAGCAATTGGTCCTTACCTCTCCTTGCTACCCCTTCATCTTTATCTTCCAGCCCAAGATCATCTGGCTGAAGAACAAGATTGATATCCAAGGCAACCCTAAATACAGAGCCCTCAGTCACCTGGGAATCTGCTCCCTAGAAATTAGAAAGCCTGGTCCCTTTGATGGAGGCATCTATACTTGCAAAGCAATTAACGCCCTGGGGGAGGCATCTGTAGACTGTCGGGTGGATGTGAAAGGTAAGGGCAGGAGAGTGCCTGAGGGTTTGGTCATTTCTCCACTGATGGAAAAGTCAGCAGTTAGAGACACAGGCCAACGTGGAGCAGGACTTCCTTCTCCCGGCCCCCTCATCACTGTTAGAATATACTGTGGATCCCTTTTTACTATCTATTGTTTTGTTTCTCTCCATTACAATTCTGTAAAATGTAGGAAGAATGGTTATTTCCATGTGCAAAGGAGAACCCTGAGGCACACAGAGGTAACTGGTTTCCCCAAGCTTTCCAGTGTCAGTTACCTGAAGAGCTGGCCCAGTAGAAGAAGAGAGCCTAGTTCTCCTGTTCCTCATGCCGATCCTTTTTCTTTAACCCACACAATCTTCTCACTCAGTCCAGAGAGCTACAGGTATTTTCCCAGCTTTCCTTTACATTTCCTTCTGGTTTGAAGGTGATAGGGCACACCCTCCCTACCTCTTTAAAGTGTTTGTTCAGCCGGGTGTGGTGGCCCATGCCTGTAATCCCAGCACCTAGGAGCCTGAGGGAGGATGTGAGTTCGAGGCCAACCTGGGCAACTCCGTGAGCTCAAGGCAAACTTAGACTACATAGTGAGACCTTGTCTCAAATAAATAAATTAATTAATTAATAATAATAATAATTCTATTCCTAGCACCTTGTTTAGATCTTCATTGCTGCATTTAGCTCATTGTTTTATAATTATCTATTTATAGATCAGTTTTACTATTAAGCTAAAAGCACAATGAGAGCAGAGGCAGTGTTCAGCCTAGTTCCTGACACACAGTGGACACTGTTTGCATGGATGGGGAATGAATGGGCTTTTAATTTTTTATTTTTTTGTCTTCTTGAGACAGGGTCTCCTTTTGCAGTTCAGGCTGTCCTGGAGCTCACTTTGAGGCCCAGGCTGGTCTCAAACTTGCAACAATCCTCCTGCCTCAGCCTCCTGAGTGCTGGGATAACAGGCATGTACCACCATGCCCAGCTGAATGGACTTTTATATGTTCTATTCTTCTTTATGTGTAGTCTTCCTAACCTTTGGGGCTCTCCAAAACTTAAACTAGAATACCCCTTCCTAATGCACTGAAAGAGGGTTTCCCAGAGATTTCTGAGATGTTATCATTGAGAAATCTCTGCATTCTTGCAGCTCCTTATTGAGACAAACTACAAGGACACAGTACCTGGGAAAGGTAAGGAAAAATGGACAGGGTGTCTCAGTGGATTATTTCATTTTATGGCTTGTGTTATTCAGTCTGGGATAAATGTATATTCCTGAGCCTCTCAACTATATACCCCTTGTGACCACTTCTTTTTTTAATTTTTTTTCTATTTTTTAAAATTTTTTTTATTATTTTTTCCCGATACCGGGAATCAAACTCATGACCTCGCGCTTGCGAGGCAGGCACTGTGCCACTGAGCTAAATCCCCAGCCCCTAAAGCTAATACTATTGCCCCTGTAGAGGGAATTTGTCATAGATGAGGTCTGATTCTGTCACATCCTTTGTATGTCTGTACTCCCCAAGTTGGAATCAACTCTGATGGCTCTCTGAAGAAAGGTAAGAACTTCTTCCTAATTGCGAGGGCTCTGTGGGAGGGTCTGGGCAGGCACTGTGAGAAAAGATGTCAGGGGAATGGCTAAGAGAGAAGGAATAGACAAGAGCATTCACCACAGAGTAGCAGAGTGAACATGGACAGGATTAAGTGTTTCTACCTCAGTTTTACAAGAAGGGTTAAAAAAAAAATAAAGTTTATATTTTACAGTACTTTAAATGTCATGCATTTCTTCCTAAGAGGAGAATATTTTTTTTTTTGGAGACAGGGTCTCACTGTGTAGTCCAGGCTGCCCTTGAAATCGCTTTGCAGCTCAGGCTAGCCTCAAACTAGCAGCAATCCTGCCTCAGCCTCCCAAGTGCTGCGAGTATAGGTGTGCACCATCATGGCTGGCTCACCACTTTTATTATAGGTTAACAACAATTTGATTAGGAAGTTCTCATTATTGCCAAAGGGCTGCCAGATCCTCATTTAGAATCTGGTAGCTCCTTCAAGTTCTAAATGATTCACAGTAAAAAAAAAAAATGTGTTGAATTGATGAATAAGGTGGGAAAAGGGAAGCTTGTGAGACTGAAAGAGAGCCAGCTCTCACTGTCTCCTCTGACTTGAGCTTCTGACTGAGGAAAATTGAGAATCGATTCAATCCCCTAAGCCATTTATTTAAGCCCATCTTTGATGCATAGCAAATAAAACCCCTAAGAGATGCATTAAAAGCACAAATTCCCCTCAGGAGAGCTCTCTGTGCCAGCTGGCTTGCAAAGACAGTTCTGTCTTCTCTCTGCTTGCTCTGGGTTAATGCTGTGTTGCACGGTGTTAGTGTTAGCTGTTCCCCACCACCACCCAGCACCCAGCAGGATGCAAACGAGAGTAAGTAATGAATCCATAGCACAGGGCCGAGGGAGAGACCGTGAGGAGGGACAGCTGGGCATCCTAGACATGCACTGGCTGTTTGCTACGATGGCTAAAACACACCCTCTCTTTTCAGGGTCTCCAGGAAGCCTGACTGGGACAAGACGGTATTCTTGAGGCACTTTAGTACAATGTCTGGTTTGGAGTAATCTAAATAAATGTGTGGATCCTCAGTGAATAAGTGTATTGTTTGAGACTTTCCATATGGGAAAAACATTTAGAAAGTTGGAGTCCTTTAGCCAAACTGTATGAAGTTCCAATACCCTAAGGTATTTCTCTTCCCATGTCCACATTCTCTTCCATAGAGGTCTCTGACACTGTCCTTCTAGAGGGTCTATGACAGAGCTGAATTCAACTCTATACAGTAGGAGATGCTGGAAAGCAGAGAAAATGACTTGCTCTCTTCCTCTATGAGCTTTCCACTGTAAGCTAGGGTAAGAGAGTACACATCCACCACAAAGCAGCAAACAGCAAAACACACGCCTACATGCTTACACATACATACATACATACATACATACATAGCTATTAAAGACACAGCCCTAAGCCCTGCAGGTTGGAATGTGAGCTTCCCTTGTTTATATTTGTTTTCATTCTTCGAACAAATAAGACATGGAAGGCTGCCAGACATGGTGGTACATGGCTATAACCCCACCATGTTGGGAGGCTGAAAAAGGAGGGTCACAAGTTCAAATCTAGTCTGGGAAAATTAGCCACTTAGAGTGACTCTATCTCAAAATAAAAAATAAAAAAGGGCTGGGGATGTAATTCAGTATGAAACCCCTCGGTTCAACCCTTCCTCCCCCAAAAAAGAGACTGAAGGCATTCTGCGATGGGCTCTGCAAAGGACGGCAACAGCTCATCCTGCCCTTGTCTGGCCAGGTGATCCTCCCATCAAGAGGGGTAGTGTGTCTCCCCTTCCCCATAGTCATGTGACTTCTCTGACAAAAGTAGCACTTAGCTGAGGGAATGCTGTAGCAATTCTAGGCCTGGTGCAGGGCTGTAGTGGTTTTACTATTTAAGGTGTAATAGGTTTTTCTTTTGTCCTTGGAAGTCAGCTCGCATACAAAGAAACTCAGGCTACATTACTGAATTATCACTGGCCACATGTGGGACATCAAAAGATGGAAAACACCAAAGCAACCAACAACCAGCACCATGGCACTAGACACGTGGCTACATGAGATCCTTCAGCCCTAGTCGGGCTCAATCAACCTTGTAGGGTTGAGACAACTCATCCCTACAGAGGCCTGCCCAAGTATAAAATCAGAAACAAATAAATGGCCGGTGTTGTTTCAGGCCACTACTTTTTGAAGTGGGTTGTTTCATAATAATAGACAACTGGGCCTAAAGCAGAGCTTAGTGGTAGAGCATTTGTCTACCAAGCTCAAGGCTCTGGTATGACCCTCCACACTGCAAAAACAAACCAAACATGCAAAAAACTGAAACAGCCTTCTTTGCATCACATACTGAATTACATACTTTTATCTCTTTTAATCTGCACTTTACAAACGAAAAAGTTGAAAAAAAAAAAGTTGAAATTTATAAATCACCCAAGTCATGTATCTGGTAAGCAGCAGAGCTGGGATTTAACTCAAAGGCTTTCCTATTTCCTATTTCTCTTTCACCTAGTGGTTCTAGGTTGGAATCATCAGTTTAAAAAAGAAAAATTTTTCCAGGAGGCAATAAATATTAAGCACAGTTTTGAGGAGGAAAGGTGCCATGTCCAGCATAGCTCTTGAAGTTCCTCAGGAGGATATCAAGAGGATGGAAAAATAAAGATAAAAGACAAAAGCTGAGGTCAGGTGGTGCCCTCTCTCCTGATGGGAGGAAAGAAACTGCTCAACCACCATAGGGCATTTATTTATACATTTGACAAGTTGGCATCATGTGACACCACTTTGCCTAGCAATCTATTGCTTGGATTGTCCGGGGCTTGGTGTTCTCTGGACTGAAGGAGCCTTGTCCATGCCGATTGCCTCAGGCGTTCTTTCTTCTCAGACCTGCCTTGCCTCGCCCCCACATGTGTGACTAATTTCCAACTTCCACTGTCCCTACAGAAAGGGATTCAATTTGGTTAAGGAGAGTGTGGAAAGGTTCTTCTGTTCGGACCAAATGTCCAGCCTCAGTTGAGGCAAAGTGTCTTTCCCATGAGGAGTTGAGGCAAAGTGTCTTTCTCAATGGAGTTTCCATTGTGTCATAGATTTACTTCTTCCTATACATCTGGGATGTTAACGAGACAGAGATTAGGGCATGGCAAACCTGCTGAGGTGAATATGACCTGTCAATAATGGAGATCCAGGAAATGCACAAAAAAGCAGTTCCCAAAGCCCTGCACCTGGGACCAATCAAAGACTGCAATCTTCAATTCCTCTAGCAAGAACTGAAGCAGGTTTTTGACAGGACAGCTTAGAGTTGATGTCAGTGTGAGGAGTGGTAGATACAAAAAGACAGCTGCCGCTGAGCTCTTGGCCACTGTGTTCTCTCTCTCACAGTGATCCTCTCTCACCTCTCCACACTCTGCAGAGTGTACTCCTTTTCCTACATTGAACTGGCCCACACTTGCTCTGCAAAGCATGTTTTTTTTCCTACTGTAATACTTTGCTAGCTTTGGGGCTTGTTTTGTTCAATTCTCTATTCAGGAAAAGAAGAACCTAGAAAGAATCACTAGGAGTCCCCAGAACCCCATAATCTGATAACATTACTGCTTTTTTCCCTTTTTTGGGAATTTGAGAAAACAGTGCAAATCATTCTTAGGCCCTAACATACTTATGGAAATCCTGTGTGAGAATGTAGGGGGAGGAATTAGAGCCCAGCGCCTGCGACCAAGCACACAACCACAAGGAGGCCTACCTCTGCTGAAGCACCTAGGTCCCAAGCACTGGAACATGCCCACAACACTGACCAAGACCTCCAGTCCCAGGTAGTCCATCAGCATTTAAGGCATATTTCACTGAAACCCTTAATTTTTTCATTTATGCATTTGACACTTATGGAATATCTTCTGAGTTAAGGCCTACTATGTGCCTGACAGGGAGTGTAATTTCTTCATTGATTCATTATTTATCCAAATATCATACACATCATTTTGAGGTTGAAGGACTTGAGCAAATATCAGTATTTCCCAGAACAATGGCCTTATGCTAGATGACAAATTCTAGTGCCTAAAGTCTGTACTTTCTGGCTTTGATGTCATTCTGATGGAGAAAAAAAACATTTCCCCCGGAACTGCAACAGTTTTCAAACTAACTTCCAACTGCTAACGCCCATCTCCAAGGCTGGGTAAAGAGCCTAGGAGTGCCCCACTCAGGCTGGTCCCAGGGCAAGAAAGAATTCAGATAATTCACAGCATCTCCCACTCTCACTGGTACCCCGATGTGCCTGAGAGAGGGAAGCTACTGACTGTGGTTTTCTAACCCTCTGTAGACCCAGGAACCAACATTCCATCTGGTCCAGCCGCTGAGTCCGGGACCTCTCCACTCTTACCCTTATCACCTGGCTAAATTCCAACTCCTTCGCTCCTGAAGCATTTATTTGCCTCTGGCACACTTCACCCTCAACTTTACAGCCAAAACCTAGAAAGGAAACAAACAAAGCCAAAATAATGGTCATAAACTTGGTTTATAAGAACACTCCTGTCACGCTCTTAGGGCTTTCTCCACTTTAAATTTTGAGAACGTTTCCCAAGCACATTTAGAGAACTTAAGAACGCACCTAGTAAGCATTTTACACACAGCTTTTAGTTCCAAAACTGCTAGTTACAAGCACCCCCTCAAAGCCCCTAAAGGGACATGGTGTAAAATCTGGTGTCTATAATTGTCCTCCTCATCCTGTACCTGCGAGAACCGCGATCTTCGTATCACAAGCAGGGAGGCCAAAGAGGGCAAATGTACTCAGCCTACCCTGCTTGTGAGCGGGAGTCACGGCTGCACTTGAACCCAGAACCCCCAGTGTGAAAGGCCAGTTTTCTTTACACTTTGGGTGCTTTCGCTGTTTTCTTTGCACCTTTCTCAGTCGTAGGAAGACATTCCGAATGTTCTTGCTTAAAAAGGGAATATGGATGATGCACTTCTCAGCCTCCATAAATCTAAAATAGAAATGCTTAGGTGCTTCGGTAACTTGGAAAAGCCACGGAGAAAACACCGCCAATGTAACGCTTTCCTACTCCTCTCGCCCCACGGAAACGGACCTCCCCGGGGCGCTCAGGGGTCGAGCACCGCGGTCTCCGCCGGCCGGAAGGAGGAGGGGGCGGAGGAGGGGGGGGTGAGGCGTGGCGCGAAGCCCATTCTCATTGGTGCGTCCCCGCGCGCGCCGCCACGAGGCCCCGCCCCCAGGGCCCGCCTCCGCTCAGCTCCCCGCTTGGGAGCCACACGAGAGGGGGGTCCTGGGCACGCGCGGGCACGCGGGGCTTCCACCCGCCGCCCCGTTTGGGCCCCGCGGGATGAACTCTTTCTGGGAAGGTTTGTCCCGTGCCTCCTCCCCTGCCATCACCCTCCGACTTCCGGCCGGATCCGCCAATCACGGTGCACATGTGGCAGGAGTGGGTGGGACCTGAGAAATTCGAAAGGAGCCCCGCCCCCTGGGAGCGATTCCTAGGACGAGGCTTTGGGGAAGAAAGCCTTTTGGTAGCAGGTGAGGTGGGGCGGGAAGTGGAAACCGCTGGTGGGCTGGAGGTGCGGCGTGGGTGTGGGCCCGGGGGAGTGGAAAGGTGGCTGGGGGCAGGAAAATCCCAGAGGATAGTGGCGAGGAGGAAGATGGGGCGTTCAAACCGTGCCGGGTGAGGAGAGGTGAGGACGCGGGTGCCCCGGTGCGGGCGGGAGCACGCTGCACCTTTCCCAGAGGTCACCGATGCTTACGGGAAGGTGCGACCCTGGGCACTCGCCTACCTCCTGCATGCTGTCGTGCGCCGGCTTGCACGCTGGGTGAGCTGGGAGTCTGGGGCAGCGGGGATACCTGAGGAAAGGTGTGTTTTGTCTCCAGCGCAGGTCTAAGCTGCCCCGCTCCGGGTGTCGGGACATGGAAGATTCGGAGGAAGGTAAGGAAGCCCTAGGGGAGAATGAGGCTCTGCTTGGAAGGCCATTGTCAGGAACCAGTGTTGGCATTTATTCTTCTTTCTCCTTCAGATGTCAAGTTTATCACGGATGAGACCTTGGACTGTGGAGGGCTGTCCCCATCTGACAGGTACCAGCCCCTTTGTTGCACTAATTTCCCCCAGCACTGCTGTGGCGTGAGCCCTTTTCCTTATTGGCCTCTGGATATGATTAGGTTGGTAACTGAGCCAGGTATGGTGCACTAGGGCTGCAGAGTAGCTGGTGGACTCAGGCCTGTAGGATGCTGATGGTGAGAAGGAGAGAAGAGCGGGAGTGAGATTTCAGAGTGCTAAGCATAAGTGGATTCGCTGCATCTCCGTCTTGGCATCGCTTCCGATGTCAGAGATACTGAAGGCCTGGTGGTACATATGGAAGCAGATGTCTCACCACCTAGAGGCCAGATGTCACTGCTGGAGCAGACATCAGTGTTTGGAGTTGTGTCCCTGGCCCTGTTGCAGGGATTTTTTTCAGCCCGCTTTGCACGGTCTCTGCTCTTTTACTTGGGCATGGTACCTTGTTTGTTTTCTGTCTCAGTCGTGAGGAGGAAGACATAGCCGTGTTGGTGACTGCAGAGAAACCACTCCGCCGGGGCCTCTCCCATCGAAGTAACCCGAATACCGTGGCTCCTGCACCCCAAGGGGTGAGGTTCAGCTTAGGCCCTCTCAGCCCGGAGAAGCTGGAGGAGATCCTTGATGAAGCCAATCGGCTGGCGGCTCAGCTGGAGCAGTGTGCCCTGCAGGAGCAGGAGAGCTCGGGTGAGGGCCCAGGGCCTCGCCGAGGGAAGCCCAGCCCTCGGCGGGAGACCTTTGTGCTAAAGGACAGCCCTGTCCGAGATCTGCTGCCCACTGTGAGCTCTCTGGCTTGGAGCACACCCTCACCAAGCAGCCTGACGCCTCGACTTCGGAGCACAGATAAGAAGGGGTCAGCAAGGGCTCTTAGGACAACATCTGGGAAGAGGCCCTCCACTGTGAAGAGGGTGAGTTTGGAAAGTTGGGTTGCATGTGTGTCCCAGAAATGGTGTGTGACATACGGCAGGCAGAGCGTTTTCCTCACTGGCCAAATGGGGATAGTAATTCTAACCTCTGGAATTGTGGGAATTAAATAAGATACCATAAGCCAAGCATTTACTGCAGTGTCTGTGTATAGGCTCTCTAGTGACTGTAATAGACTCAGTAAGAGTGGTATTGGTGCCAGGTGTGGTGGCACATGCCTGTAATCCCAGACCTCTAAGAGGCTGAGACAGGAGGATCACAAGTTTGAGCCCAGTCTGGACAATTTAGTGACGTAGCAAGACCTCCCAAAATAAAAATAAAAAGAGTTATGGATGCAAAGAATGGGTTCAGCCCCCAGTACTGTGCCGAAACAGAAAAAAAAAAAAAAAAGGTACTAATGATAGTGGTGGTGATAATGATGTTGTAGCAGCTAACTTCTGCTTTTCCACACTGGGATCTATAAAACACCCCACCTCTATTCCTTGATCCCCTAAACCAGCAGAGCAGATTCTTCCTTCATTCTTGTCTATTTTTTTCTTTTTTTTGGTGTATGCGTGTGTGTTTCAGGAGTCGCCCACTTGCAATCTGTTCCCTGCCTCCAAAAGCCCAGCACTATCTCCTCTTGTACGATCAACTCCTCCACTCCAGTCAGCGCCAATCCAATCCACTCCTCCGCTCCGATCCACTCCCCCGGCCCGATCCACTCCTCCGCTCCGGTCCACTCCACCGGCCCGATGCACTCCTCCGCTCCGGTCCACTCCACCGGCCCGATGCACTCCTCCACTCCGATCAGCTCCACTCAGATCAACTCCTCCGCACCGATCAACTCCTCCGCACCGATCAACTCCACCGCCCCGATCCACTCCGCCGCCCCGATCCACTCCACCACGGGGAAAAACTGGGCCCAGTACGAGGGCAACAGCAAGTGAGACTCAGGCCGCAAAGCTGTGGGTGACGGGTGGGGAAGTGGACCTTACCCTGAAATGTTTCTATTCCTTTCCACCAGGCCCACCTACCCCAGTCAGACCAGTCCTGCCTTCAGCCGGCAACACTCAACGCCCATCCAGGCCACAGGGAGCAGCTGCCAAGACTTCCAGTCGACTGCCCGTTCCCTCGGCCATCCCCAGGCCCGCCAACAGAATGCCAGTCACCAACCGGAGTGTGCCCTCCGGCAAAGGTGCCCTGCCTCCTGACTCTCTGTCAGCTCGGAGAGGGCTTCCAAGATCAAGTGCGACAGGACACAGAGGTGAGGAAAAATGGACAGAAGGGTAAAAAATCAGGAGGCTAAATACTGACCTTGGCACAGCTTGACCTCAGCATCCCAGAGCTGGGCAACAGTGACCACTTTTGCCACCTTCCTTAAAATTCCATTTGAACTGGGGAGACTGAATTGAGAGAGTGCGGGTCTGGGTAGAGTCTGAGCCTTGGTATCTAAGTACCTCGTGGTTTTTACCTGGCAGGGGAGGCGCTCTGCCTTCGGCTCGCACTCCTTGAGGTCAGCTGAACTTGCTGCTAACTTTCTTCTGTTAACCCCCGTCAAGCTCCTCCCTCCCAGAAACCAAATCTTCCTGTCCTTGGTGCCACCCGCAGCAGTCTGCAGCCTCCCAGGAAAGTCACAGTCCCTGGGCCTACCAGGTAAACTGGTCCCTCCACCCCATCCTCTGGGCTTCCTAGCTGCTGTGCGTGGCAGCCCTGAATTCTTTATGGAAAGGCGGGGCCTGAGGAACAGAGCCTGGAGCAGAAGATAGGAGCTTGAACTTAGCTGGGTGACAGATGGGCTTGAAGAAGGAAGGCACTTTAAAGCAGTTCCCCCTTTGTCGCTTCAGGTAAAGAGATCAGGACCACGAGCCGGAATTCAGTAGCAAACCACTACAGCCACTGCCTGGATTCAGCTGTACCAGCAGGCCCGACTCCAGAGTTCTGGCCTGGAACAGTGGAAAGAGATGCCTCCAGGGCCAATCCCCAGGAATAGAGACCATAGCAGTTGGGGTGGATTCAGGCTGAGCTGGAGGAGACCCAAAGTCTCTGAAGATGAGCGGAAAAGAGGTCACCTCCCAGCAGTGAGATTAACAAAATGAGAAATGCAGGCAAGTGGCTTATCCTCTTCTACCCCCACTCTTGCAGTCCGCCCTGGAGAGCGTGATGTTCTTCCCAGGCGTGGTTCACTGGACACATTTACACGTGAATGGCCTCCATAGCCAGCCCCGCTCTCTGAGGAGCGGTCTTTCTGAATCACATCCTGCACTGGACGTGGGCCTGTTTGGAGAGGGGAAGCCGGCACCTGGTCGCCAGAACTTGTTTCCTGTGAATTCTGTGATTTCTTACAGGCCAGTTGATAACTCTGTCAATTTTCATTTTTGTAAAATAAAGGGAATGTATTTTTATATTTTCTGTGTATCTGGAAGTGGATCCTGGTCTAACTTCTAACAAATTTAGAGTAAACCTCTAATTCTAGTGAGACAGCCAGGACAGACATCCGGCAGGGGCTTAAATAGGTCCTACGCCCTTGAGCTTCCAGCTCATCAGGCTGTGACTAACCTCCTTGTTGGTGTCCGAGGGGAACAGTCTCCCTCTCCAAGGATTCAGATAATAGAGGGGCCGGGTCAAAATTAGGGTAGCTTAATTCACAGTGTGTGAGGCTCTTATGCTGGGATCTCCGTAAATTATTCATATCCTACACCTGAATGTCCTTTGCTGCTGAGACAACAGGGCCTCCTGGGAACTCACTGGCTATTTATCTGCTGTGCTTGTGGGATGAGGAGGTGCTGGGACACCTTGTCACATTTTCCCTCACATCATTAGAACTGTCTGTCTTCTCCTCTTCCCTGCTAGACTCCAGTGCCCACACCAGAATTTAGAAACCTCTGCGTCCCCTAGTGTTGTGGCTGTAGCAGAGCATTTCATTCATTTATTTAGAAAATAGTTGAGTGGAACATGGTGGGTGTTTGTTAAATAAATGACAAAGACACTTTAACAGATTTAGCTTAGGGTCTCACATTATTTGCAGACTTTGACTCTTCTGAACCAACTCAGTTCCTCATGAGTTTTGAAAGAAATTTCCTCCCTGAAAGCCAGACCATGACTTAAGGAAGACAGTGGGCAGCTGGGTACAGGAAAGTCAGACACCCCTTGCCTATATGCCCTTAAGTGAAATGCCCTGCCCCTGTCCCTGGACTCTCCCCCGCTTTTGAGGTTCTTTAATACATGCACCTGCACCACCGTGACAGCTGCCTGGACGCTCACCTTTCCCTGCCCCTCTGCCCCAGCTCCTGCAGCCCACGATTCCAAGAATTGGTGTGGGAAGAGGACTGTGGAGACAAATGTTGAGTATTTGGTTTTGGAGAAATTTGGTATAAAGCAAGAAAATCTCAGGCGTTTCCCAGCTTTCTCCTGCACTAGTGTCTAGTGAGCTGGGGCTGTTGGTGACTTCCTGCTCTGAGGAGGCACTGGCACATCGGCAAGCCTCTGGACACCTAGGCATGGCTATCAGCTAGCACATTTGTGTGGGCTGCGGGTGAGCCAGGCCTGCCTTGAGTGGCCTGCCTTGAGTGGTTAAGAGGCAAAAAAAAAAAACGAACCGCGGACCCATGTGCTGCTGCCCCCTGGTGGCTAGAGTGGGAAAGGCACGTTCACCTCCTAGGCCAATCTTCAGTTTTGCCCTCCACCCTCAGCCCTTCCCGTTCCAAATCTGCCTGCCGCCTCCCTCCTGCAGTTCCCCTTCCTGTTCAGCTACCTGCTGGCCTCCTCCCCTTTTGGCCCCACTTTCACCACCTCCCCCTACACCCCAGTAGCAACAACAAAGAAAGCCAGTGTTTATTGGCCTCCTGCTATGCACTTTGAACTGTTCTAAACAATTTACATGTGTTAGCTCATTTAATGCTCATAAAAGCTCAATTAGACAGGTGCTGTTATCCTCATTTTGCTGCCGAGAAACTAAGGCTCAGAGAGATTAAGTCAGCTGGTCCCCTGGCTTTTGTTGGTAATTACCACCTATATTGCCCCATGTTAATTCCCTTTCTAGTCTGTTTGAAAAACACAAAACGTGGGTCTAGCAGTCACACTGTAGACCTCATACCTATCTCCAGTATCAATAGTTGCTTCATTTTCCAATGGAAGAAACAAAGCATGGTCCAGAGCAGTGCAGTGAGTAGGTATCTATCACCATCACTGAGCACCCTTAAATCCCCACCTGCCCCTCAGCCGTTCCTACCTACGGAATTCTGCGCTGGCAAATTTATTCACGTCTAGGACTCAGCCCTGAAGGAGTGGGTTAGAAGCCGGCCTGCTCTGTGCAGCAGCTCCTGCAAGTCCTGCTTGCCCTGGTGAAAAGGACACTTCCTCGCCTGCCCGCTTCACCTTTGGGACTGCCGGGACATGGGCTCCGCAATGGTAAGGTCTGAGGAGAGGCAAGCCAACCAGCCAGTCCTCTGACTTCCGGCTGGGGTCTCCCAGGCCCTGGTCTTTCACACAGAAGCACATGATGAGGTCGCAATGCCTGCACACAGAGCTATCTGTTTATTCAGTAGTATGGGGAATGGAAAAAACAACAACAACAAAACTCTACCATATTTACAGCAGTGATCAAACTGTACAATCTGATGGTTAGTATCAAGTTAGCATCCAGCATCTTTGTATTTTTTTTTTTAAATCAAGTCATCAGTAGTAAAAACCAGTTAAATTTTTAACCCTTTGCAGGAATTGCTGAGGGGAGAAGGGAGAAGGCAGGGGGAGACTCCATGGCCGAAGAGCCACAGGCCAGCTTCCAAATGAACTGGAGCTTTTTCCTGCCTGAGGCCTCTTTTTCTACCACCTGCTCCAGAAGGAAAGTCAGTGACAAGTCTGGAATACATGCTTCGAGTAAAGGGTGACTCAAAGAATAGCAGTTGGCAAAACTGGGAAGGAAGTGGATGAGCGTCAGGGCGTTAGGCCTCCAGGCCGGGGCTGCTGGGTGCACCCCCAACCTGGGCTGGCCACGTCAGACCCGAGACCGGGTATGGACCCACCCCAACACAAAAGGCAAATAAATAAAAAATATATATTAACTCTCTCTTCACAGGGAGCTGGGGCGGAGTGGGGGACAAAGAGGAAGAAGACCCGGTCCTTTGAAGAAGAGAGCCAATTCCAAGAAGGGGTTAAAAATAGAACATGTCTCAGAGGCCACAGCAGGTCAGACAAAGTGGCGTTTGTCTGATTTGGGAGGAGTGGGTGAGTGGACACCAGAACCCAGAACTGAAACCTGTGCTTGAGGCCCCTCAGGGCAAGTGAGCCGACTCTGTGCTTGCTCTTCCTCCCCGCCCCGCCCGCCCAACAGCAAAGAAGCGCAACTTAACACACGACTGGCCTCCCCAGGAGTGGGTCAGCAGGAGAAACGAAGCACTTTGGGGTCAGCAAACTGAGCAAACACCCGGTCTGCAGCACGTGGCCACAGTCCAGGGAAAGGAGAGGGGCTGGGGCCGCTGGCCCCCTTCAAACATGTTCATGCAGCATTTGGGGGTCCAGGGGTGATGAGTCCTTCTGCCCCTGGCCGGACAGGGCTTTTCAGTTCCTGGGAGAGGCAGCAAGGCGGGCGAGGCACGCCCTTTGCCAGGTCCCTCGCCAGCTGAGGCCTGCCCAGCGCAGCCTGCAGGGTCTGACGCCCTGGGGTATGTGTGGCTTTGTCCTTTCCATTTGGTGATGGCAAATGAGGGGCAGGCCCCCTAAGAGTCCCTCTCCTCCCAGAGGCACAGCAGATGGGAAACTGAGGAGAGGCTGGGAAGCGTCCTGGGAGGTCCTATCCTCTTTGGGAAGGGAAAGGGGAGTCAGTTTCCAGCGTATAAAAAAAATTAATCCCTGAAGTCATGAAGAGTGGAGATCCTTTTTAAATTCCTTTTTTCCTCCTTTCTGAAAAACTTTGTCTTGGAGATGTTGGCCCCAGGGGTCCAAAGTGCAGAGAGGGGGTGGAGGGGGAGGGGGAGTTGGCACTAGATGGCCTTAGGTGCAAGGCCCAGGCTCCTCAGATGGACGTTTCGTCGCTGCTGCGGGCAGGCGGCGGCGGGGAGCAGGGGCAGGATAAAGCACAAGACAGGAGTAGGGGCATGAGTGCAGCTGGGGAAGGGAAGGGAGCCTCGGGACGTAGGAACCACCGGCCCAGGGTTAATGCAGGAAGTTAAAGAAGAGAAATCTGGAGAGGCAGGAAAGGAGAGTGGCAGAAAAGGCAGACGGAGGTTAGCTGCAGCGGAGCGGACAGCGGAGCTTTCACCAGAAGAAGGAAACAGGAAAGCGGCCCCGGCTCCCCAGCCTCCCTCACCTTGCCCAGTGCCCAGGGCTGGGCTCTAACACATCAAGCCCAGTGGGGCTGGCCCACCCCCGCCCGTGGTTCGGGGCACAGGAGGGAGCTGATCCTGCTCAGCCCATTTGTCCTCCGACTGCTGACCAGAGCAGCTGGAGGCCCCAGCCAGGACCTCTGCGGGCAGCACCCTGTCCCGCCAACCCAGCCCCACTCACTCGGAGCCCGACGAGTCCTCATCCACGGTGCCCGCCTTGATGCTCATGGCGATGGGCATGACCCCGTTCAGCTGCTCCTGCAGGCTCTGCCGGGGCGGAGGGCGGGGCGGGGGCCCACCCCGGCTGCCTTCACTGGCCGAGGAGCCCCGAGACGACCCCGTGCCCTGCTCCAGGGGCAGCCGCAGGAGGCTGCTCTTCTCGCTGATGGTGGGCAGACACTTCTTCTTGAGGATGCCTGGGGGCCGGGGGGCGGGGCCGTGAGGGGCAGGCAGGAGGAGCAGGGGCTCCTGCGGCAGCTGGGGTGCCCCGCTCACCTTTGTGAGGTTGGGCAGAAGGGCCGGGAAGGGGGCCCAGGGACCCCTCCCGAGACATGGCGTCTCCATTCTCCCTCGGCCGCTCCTCAGGGACCCCGCCGCCGCCATTCTCCTTTGCGGTGGTTCCAAAGTCTCCTGGCCAGGGGACCTTCCCAGGCCCTGAACCTCCCTCTGGTGAGGAAAGGAAGTAGGTGAGACCCAGAGACTGCAGACGGCCCAGACAGCCTCCACCCAGTCCTGCTGCCCAAGAAGCCCAGGCCTCTCGGGCTCCCACTGCCCCCCAAGGCCACAGTCTGGTGCTGGCCCACCCTTGGGGGTACTGTGCAGGGGCAGTCTCTCCGCTCCAGGCCCCAGCAGGCTGTCCCAGCCCTGCTCGCCAGGGAAGGCAGCCTCCTCCTCCTCCTCTTCCTCCTCCTCGCTGTCTGACGAGTGGGTAGAGGCATAGGAGCCACTCTGGTCGTCTTCCAGGGACAGGTCACTGTCCGAGTCCGTGTCAGGATCTGGGAGGTCAGGGAGGGATCACAGCCAGCCCACCTGCCTCAGCCCACCCTCAGCAAAAGCCAGACCCTTCCCTAGTGGGTGGCCAG